TGCCTAGTGTCAGTTCTGCAGCAGTGGCCAGAGTCTAGTCCACCAGTCGCCCATTTACCTTCAGGAACGTGAGACGGGGCACAACCAGCCACGGTCCATTCTGCATGGTCACGATAGGGTCCCTGTGACTTGCTCTGTCTCGGGTCATCCCACATCCCCTAGCATTTGTGCTTGTACTTGTGCTTACACAGCTGCCCAGGAGACAGGCTGGGGGCTGCGGCCACTGCTCACGGACACTTTGGAGGGACCCTGGCCTTCCCTTGGGTCCGTGTGGGCGCCCTGGCTTGCTCCAGGCTGCTTGGGGTCTGACCAACAGGAATGAAGGTGGGCAGGCCAGGCACCCTAGAGCCTCAGCCCGCCCCTCCACCCCACCCCCGACACGTTTGCAGGTGCTTTCACTCCCTCAGCCTGCAAGGGTCAGACTTGCCCTAGAATCGATGATCTCTCCTGTTTTCTTTTGCATTTTGCTAAACACTGAAGAAGCTGGAGATGTTAAACTTTATCTTGGGGAAATCCTCAGAACTGGTTTATTTGGTTCCATAGAACCTTTTACTGCTTCCAATACACGATTAGTAATCAACTGCTTTGGATACTTGTTTTCAGTTTTCATTTCAACAAACAAGCACTGTAATTATAGCTACTAGAATAAAATCTCTTAACTATTAAAAAAAAAAAAGGGAAGGAGTGTCTGGGTGGCTCAGTTGGTTAAGTGTCTGCCTTCGGCTCAGGTCATGATCCCAGGGTCCTGGGATGGAGCCCTGCGTTGGACTCCATGCTCAGTGGGAAGCCTGCTTCTCGCTCTCCCTCTATAGCTCCCCCTGCTTGTGCTCTCTCTCTCTAATAAATAAAATCTTAAAAAAAAAAAAGGGCATGAGGAGGGATGGTAGAAGCAATGATTCAAAAGCAGAATCTTGACAGCATCTCTTACCTCTTTCTTCTAGTAATGGTATCCACCATATCTTCTGGAATTGATATTTTACTTCGTGTTCCTTTCATTTGGTTGGAACTGAACCGACTCCAATAGCGTGGAGTGCAAGACCCATGCCTAGCCAACTGATTCACGGAACACCATTAGCCACAGTGCTGAGTTAATGAGTGAACACGTGACCTCAGCTGGTCCAATTAGAGTGAATCCTTGGATCTGTACTGAATTTCCTGGGAAGAGCATACTCTCTTTACTACTATACTTGAATTTGGGCAGATTCAGCAGGTCACTGGATAAAGCCCAATAAGGAAGACAACACAGGTGAGGGCAGAGCTAAGAGTGGAGATACATCAAGCCAGGATAACAAACAATGTTTTGGCTCCTAGTTCAAGTCTCACTTAGGACTTTTTTACATAAGCTCACAAATTCTCCATTTTTAAGGCCTGTTTGTGTTAGGTTTTCTGTCACTTGCACCCAAGGGGCCTTGTCTAATATTCACGGAACGAGAGAATAAATAAGAAATGTCTAGGAAATTAGGGTATAACTTGCATCAGATACTTGCCATGTCTGTCTTTTTTACCGGCTGCTCAGCACCAAAGCACACAGGCTGCTTTTTTGAAGAATCAAACACTGCCAATGGGCTAGTAATGAAGGTATGAAAGGATTGGGCCCAAGGCCTCAGAAGCTCATTGGTCTTCGGGTGCAGCTCCTTATTTTTCCCATTTTTGTGGCAACCGGTTAACAAGCAGTCTTCTCCTGGATCCCAACTACCTCACTAATTTATTTTGAAAAGTAGCAGAGCTGGTGCCACAACCATCTAGAATTTCTGCAGGATGTGATTTGCAAGAACAGCTTTGAATATAATTCTCTATCTTAGAAAACTACCACTTTATAGGCATACATACAGAAGAATACTACCTCGCTAAAAATAGGTTGCCCTCAGTTATGTTCAAAAAAATATAAAAGATCTTAAAGAGAAAGGTGAGGTTGATGGAGATTATGAAAACTTCTTTTTAGCAGAGGATGGTTAGAGCCTTTAAAATGTTAATAACAATAAACCTCGCTGATTTTATAACATTCCATTTATTACTTCCTAAAACATTCACTGAATGTCTACTGTGCTAGATGTTTTGCCGATATAGATGAATCTGTTGTTCTAGCCCTCAAGGAACTCGGAGTTCTAGGAGGATAGATAAGACCATCTTTCCTTCCTTTATTCATTCAGCCAAAATGCCTGCCACATGCCAGACACTGTGAAGCATTATGGATTGAACAAGAAACGATATTAAAGGCAGAAATTGGGCCTGAATTGCGAAGGCTATGCAACAACAAAATACCAGGCAAAGAACTGAGTGAAGCGACAGACTTATTGGTATGTGGTAGCCGAGATGTAGGCAAAGCAGACGACGTCAGTTCTAGAAGAGGCAGGCTCCCACACTGCTTGGGCTTGTTGCTTTCTAATGGAAAATGACTCTGACAAGGAGCTTTCTTTTCAAGTTAGTTTGAAATAATTATAAATTCAGAGGAAGGTGCAAAGATAGTACATACAGGTCCTCTGTATCCTTCACCCAGTCTCCCTCAATAGCTACATCTACATTGTATAGTATCAAAACCAGGGAATCGATATTGATATGATGTGTGAGTATAGCTCTATGTCATTGGATCTCATTATGTAGATCAGTGAAAGCACCACCTTAGTTGAGATACAGAACTATTTCACCATGACCGAGATCTCCCTCGTGCTACCCCTTTTCTTTTAAGAACAATGCCCTTCAAATCCAGTTGTGAATTCATTTGTCAACAAAAGTGTTAGAAATCTAGAAGTGTCCAGATGAGCTACTCCCCCTGATTTCTGACTATGAAGGAAGGTAGTAAAGCACGTGCTGCTAGGGTGTAGTTACAAAGGCAACTTACCAACAGGTCCAAGAGAAAGGACTTCAGTGGAGTCTCTTTTGTGTTGGCAGTGCTATTGCAACATGTGAGGTTTCAATCAGCATTCAATATAGTTTAAGATTATTGGTAAGATGTGTTAATATTGAGTTTATTTTTTAAAAATACAGGTGCAGTAATTACCTCTGTACCCACCATTAATTAGTGTCTAGAGAGGTTACTTAATCCTCAGAGTTGCTACCAGCTAAGAAAACATCTAGTGAGCACACCAGTGAACAGTTGACAAAAGTAAGTAGAGCTCTAATAAAAAGTCTGGGAAGAGCAAATTTGACAATTCAACCTATCCAAAGCGATAACATCTTTCATATGGTGAAGCGCCACTTTTGGGAACAGTATCAACAACAGATCAATGTATGTTTGTTTTTTTACCCAATACTCTCCATGGTCAGTGATCTGAGTCACACTATGTGCATTATACATACAGCTTCTTCACAGGGTTTTTAGTAACTGAGAATAAAATTCTGGCCACTTTTCAAGGCAAAATGGTTTAATCTTCAGGATACAGTTCTCCTGTGGAAAACCATTGTCTTAGACATCTGCTGAGTAACTAATAGAATCATTTGTGTATGTGGAAAGTTAGGCTTATATAGAGGACATCTTTCTGTGCCAGAAAAAGCACATGCTAAACATAAAAGAAATCATTATGAGCTGAATTAATAGATGTATAGAGAAAGAAGTTGAGAATCTGCCATCGGTAAGATCTGGCAACAGGTGCAGGATATTCAAACCCTAATTTCTCATGAATGAGGAATGAACATCTGCTCAGAATAGCAATGGAAGGGAATATTCAGATTTCTACTAAATACACTTGCAACAACAGGAGCCATGGGACCATAACCAAGACATTTTTTCTGTATCCATTTATGTGCTAGTTAATACTCCACTAACTCTGATTTGAGCAGTATTCTACAGCAAAAGTTCCAGTTCAGGTTGTGCATTCTGATCACCACTGGAGCTTACTTAAAATGCTACCTGTTTCACACCCCAGGAATACTGAAATCAGAAAATTCAGGAGTGATGTTCTAGAATATGTATTGTTGCAAAGCTCCACCACGGATTCCAAGGTACAGCCAACTTTGGAAACCACTGCTCTAAATGCTGTTCGGTAGAATAGGTCCAGAACTAAATTTACCATTGCCCTCCTTGATTTTCAGTCTACTGGCCATCCAATCCATTCCACCTTCTCTATATATGTATTTCTTCAATCCATTTCCTTTTCTCAGGCCTTACTTACTGCTACTGCCTTAGTTTTGGGCATATGAACTTGGACCATAGCAGTAGTTAGTTTTAGTCTTGCCTCCGGAGGGCAGTGACACATTATTTCGCCAACATCCATCCCTGGATGGGCTTCACAAAAGCCTTACTTGGAGGACACTATGCAACATAGTTTTGCTCCTGATAATAGACATTATTGCAGAGATCCTGGAGGGGACAGGAAGCAGGTGTGATGAGACAGCTGGGAGAGAACATAGTGCATTGTGGGAGAAGAGGAAGGAGTAAAGCAAGAATATGTCAAATTGGATATTTGATTTTATGTCTAATTTTCTCAAGAAATATTTACTTCCTTGCAATGTGTGGAAATGTTAGGGTTATACTTAAATCTGACTTGTCATGTCCCTACTGAAAATGTTTCACTAACCCTACACCCCACTGACCTTGTTATAAATTCTAGATCTTTGTATGATACTTTATGCACTGTATGATTTGCCCGACTGCCTCCCTTCCTTCATCTTCACCTGTTTTTATGCTTTTTGCTTCAGTAATATTGAGCTTCTCAAAGTTTCATCAATAGACCATATTGTTCTATACTCTCTGTCTTGGCACATATTATTTCTTCTGCTTAAACCATTCCTATTCGTCCTTCACATTTTCAATTTAGAGGCCATCTCCTCTGAGAGACTACCTCAAAACACCCTCACACTAGACATATTTAAGCATTTACTCTTTTGTTTCTTCTGTATTTTATAGACACTTCTGCTCTGCCCTTAATCATTAAACTAATTATTTATGTGCCTGTATCCCTACTACATGATCAGTTCCTTGAACCTGTGTTTTGTTTTTTCTGTTTTATTTTTTCATATCCTTAAATATTTTTGAAACAGTAATTAAAATTTCATTGTGGCTAGTGCTCTCTTTGGCAGCGCATATACTCAAATTGGAATGATACAGAGAAGATTAGCATGGCCCCTGCGCAAGGATGACACACAAATCGTGAAGCATTCCATATTTTTGTGTGTAAGTGATGAATCACTAAATTCTGCTCCAGAAACTTATATTGCATTGTATGTTAACTAAAATTTAAATTTAAGAAAATTTCACTGATGCCAAATATTTCATATTTTATGACTATCCCTCAGTTTCTGGAATTTTAGGATTATTCCTATTTTCTCTTTTATGCATAATGCCACAAAATACATCTTTATATATAAATATTTGACTGTTTCAGTATATATTTCTTTTGGGAATATTTAAAGAATTTCGTTTAATGCATCAATAAATATGGGATTTTCTTTTCTTTTTTTAAAGATTTTATTTATTTATTTGAGAGAGAGCACAAGCAGGAGAGGGGCAGAGGGAGAGGGAGAAGCAGGCTCCCTGCTGAGTAGGGAGCCTGACGCGGGGCTCCATCCCAGGACCCCTGAGATCATGACCTGAGCCGAAGGCAGATGCTTAACCAACTGAGCCACCCAGGTGCCCCAATAAACATGGACTATAAGACCCTTTGATTCAGACTGTCAAAGAGCTCTAAAGAAAAACTGTAAATTTTGAATTCTCATCGGCAGTGTGTTAGGTCTCCTTACATTCAGTGATATTTACAGACCATCTTCTCTGTTCAATTGACACATTAATCCTTGGTAAAGTTATGTAGTGCCATACCTCTAAATACAGTTTATTTATAAAGGTATTTATTATATATACATATATATATAACTCATAAATTTAAATTTATAAATTTACTCCTAAATCTGTATTTCTGTCAGACCCTAACTTTTCTATAGAACTCCTGACTCATATATTCAACTGCCTATTTGACACCTCCACAGAATTCATCAAAAAGTAACTGAAATTTAATTAAAAGTCAAAAAGAACAAACTTTTCCTTTGCCATTTATTACATATATTTAAAATTATACTTCATATTACATTTTAAAATTCTAGACAGCTATAACAAGATACCTAGGAATAAACCTAACCAAAGAGGTGTGAGACCTATACTCTCAAAACTATTAACGCTGATGAAAAAAATTAAAGATGACACAAAGAAATGGAAAGACATTCCATGCTCATGGATTGGAAGAATAATATTGTTAACATGTCTATCCTACCTAAAGCAATCTATACATTTAATGTAATCACTATCAAAATACCAACAGCATTTGTCACAGAACTAAAACAAACAATCCTAAAATGTATATGGAACCACAAAAGACCACAAATAGCCAAAACAATCTTGAAAAAGAAAAGCAAAGCTGGAGTCATCACAATTCTGGACTTCAAGTTATATTACAAAGCTGATTTTTTGATTAAAGAAATCAAAAGAGTATGGTACTGGCACAAAAACAGACTCACAGATCAATGGAACAGAATAGAAAAGCCAGAAATAAAACACACAATTATATGGCCAATTAATCAACAAAGCAAGAAAGAATACCCAATGGGAAAAGTCTCTTCAAGAAATGGTGTTGGGAAAACTGGACAGCTACATGCCAAAGAATGAAACTGGACCACTTTCTTACACCTTACAAAAAAATAAATTCAAAAAGGATTAAAGACCGAAATGTGAGATCTAAAACCATAAAAATCCTAGAAGAGAAGACAGGTAGTAACTTCTTTGACATTAGCCGTAGCAACTTTTCTCTAGATATAACTCCTGAGGCAAGGGAAACAAAAGCAAAAATAAACTATTGGGGCCTCACTAAGATAAAAATCTTCTGCACAGCAAAGGAAATAATCAACAAAACTAAAGGGCAACCTACTGAATGGGAGAAGATATTTGCAAATGACATATCTAATAAAGGGTTAGTATCCAAAACATGTAAAGAACTTACAAAACTCAACACCCAAAAAACCAAATAACCCAATTAAATATTGGGCAGAAGACATGAACAGACATTTCTACAAAGAAGGGAAATGCAAATCAAAACTACAATGGGTATCACCTCACACCTGTCAGAATGGCTAAAACCAACAACACAAGGAACAGGTGTTGGCAAGGATGTGGAGAAAGAAGAACACCTGGGGTACCTGGCTGGCTTAGTCGGTAGAGCATGCGACTCTTGATCTCACGGTCCTGGGTTCAAGCCCTACATCGGGCATGGAGCCTACTTAAAAAATTTAAAAAAAAAATAAAGAAAAGAGAAAGGAACACTTGTGCACTGTTAGTGGGAATGCAAACTGGTATAGCCACTCTGGAAAACAGTATGGGAGTTCCTCAAAAAGTTAAAAATAGAACCTTACCATCTAGCAACTGCATTAGTGGCTATTTACCCAAAGAATAAGAAAACACTAATTTGTGAAGATATATGCACCCTTATGTTTATTGCAGCATTATTTACAATAGCCAAGGCATGGAAGTAGCCCAAGTGTTCAATGATCAATGAATGGATAAAGAAGATCTGGTACACACACACACACACACACACACACACACACACACACACACACAGAGGAATATTATTCAGCCATAAAAAAGAATGAGATCTTGCCATTTACAACAACATGGCTGGAGCTAGAGAGTATTATGCTAAATGAAATAAGTCAATCAGAGAAAGGAAAATACCATATGATGTCACTCATATGTGGAATTTAAGAAACAAAACAAGCAAAGGCAAAAGATGAGAGAGACAGAGAGTCAAAGCAAGAAACAGACTTTTAATTATAGAGAACAATCTGATGGTCACCAGAGGGGAGAGGGGGTGGGGAGATGGGTTAAATAGGTGGTGGGGATTAAGGAGGGCACTTGTGATGAGCACCGGGTGCTGTATCAAAGTATTGAATCACTATATTGTACACCTTAAACTGATATTACACTGTATGTGAACTGGAATTAAAAAAAAAACTTTAAAAAATATAAATAAAAAATAAAAGATAAAATTCCAGAGAGCTGATCAAGAGTCACTAATATATCCTTTTATTTATTTATTTATTTTTAAAGATTTTATTTTTAAGTAATCTCTACAACCCAACATGGGGCTCGAACTTAAAACCCCGAGATCAAGAGTCACATGTTTCACTGAATGAGCCAGCCAGGCACCTCTGTCCTTTTAGTTTTAAATGATTTGATTTTCTACATTAAATTATTTGATCTACCCGATTTTGTTATGAAGTACAAGAATTATCTATATATATGTTTTCAAATAGTTCATTTAATTAATTATTGAATAGGCCTTAATTCTTTATGATTTTAATAATTTCTCATAAACTTAATTTATGCACACATGTATACCTGTGTGTATGTGTGTATGTGTGTGTGTGTGTGTGTAGCAATAGTGGGGGTGCTGGTAGTTACAGTAGCAGTTGTTGTAGTGGTAATGGCGATGTACATAGACTCTGGAGTTGGTAAACTGGATTGGATTACTAGGCCAACCATTTAATAGTCATGTGACTGTGGACATGATCCCTAAATTCTTTGTGTCTTAATCCTTTGCATATAAAATGGGAATAATAGTCCTGGATTGTAATGTTATATGTGGATTAAAAGGGAGATAACGTGTGTAGCAGAAGCTACAAGCTTTCCAACAAAATCCACCCTCTCATTCTTTAAGCCCACAGTTAGGTTACTTTTTCCCAGCTGCTCATCCACTTAGGCATGGCCATGAGACTAAGTTGTTTCCAGAGTAACAGGTGTGGAAGTGATACATGCAACTTCCACATGTGGCCCACCTAAACCTCACCATGCTCCTTCTGCCTCTGGCTAATGTGTGTTGGTGGTAATCATGGGAACCTTGGAAGCCATTTACGTCATAATTTGAAAAAGGCAGAACCTCTGTCAGCCTGGGCCACTAAACGACTTATACAGACTAGAGGAACCAGTAAACTGGAATCTCTACTTAAGACTATTATAGGGGCGCCTGGGTGGCTCAGTCGTTGGGCGTCTGCCTTCGGCTCAGGTCATGATCCCAGGGTGCTGGGATCGAGCCCTGCATCGGGCTCCCTGCTCCGCGGGAAGCCTGCCTTTCCCTCTCCCACTCCCACTCCCCCTGCTTGTGTTCCCTCTCTTGCTGTGTCTCTCTCTGTCAAATGAATAAAATCTTAAAAAAAAAAAAGACTATTATACAAACAAGATACAAACTATCTTTTGAGCTATTATATGTCTGGGTCCATTTGCTACTACACTGAAACCAACTGTAATATCACATCTAAATTGATGAATAGAGTAACTAATTAGCACATCTTTAGGGCCTAACCAGTACAGATATATAGCCAGATAAGGACTAGACAAATGCAGATAAATTTGAGATATCAAATATTAGTTGCTTGTCTGTGTGTTCTGTTTGATGACCCTGTCAATTCTTGTACCAACATCACATTTTTTTACAACATTTTGGAAGGCAGCTATGCTCACCACTATACCACCAACGCACAACATTTTGAATACTGTAAAGTATACTGTGTTCCTTAATATCTCGTAGACTGAGAGCCACTTTATTAAATTATATAATTTTTTTTTCCAAATAGATTTTAGAATCATTTTGTCCAATTAAGAGAAATACAAGGGATTTTCAACTGGACTGTTACTAAACCAATGAATTAAATTGGGGATAATTAATACATTTGCTTTATTCATTTCTCCAGAGTAATAAACTGTTTATATCCTTTTATATGCTTCTTTTAGAGAAATAAATGTGTGCTTTTATTAAGTTCATTTCTAATGTTTTTGTAATTACTCTGAATAAGGTTTTCTTATATGTTCTAAAAGATTATTGCCCACATAGAATGCCAATCTCTCATATATATATTATATAATCACGTGTTTAAGCTGTTAGCTGTCCATTAAAATCCACCTTCCCCTTTTTTTAAGCCCACAGTTAGATTACATATCCCCAGTTAAGCACTTAAGCATGACCACAGAACTAAGTTGCATCCAAAGGAATAGAAGAATGGATAGATGGATGGATGTGTATATATGTGTGCCTATATTTATAGAAATATAATCTGTATCTTTGTATGCATTATCTCTAATATATACATATATCCCAAACAGATATAGATATATCCCTGTGATAGATATG